AATAAGCCAGAAATGGCCACTGCAGTCTCAGTTGTCTTTGCCGGCAATAATATCTGCCTTCACAACCAGCTGCTACGGCTGTTAGGACCTCTGTCGAGGACCCAGGCAGAGCGGAACAGATGAGTTCAGTTAGTGGTAGAATGAAAGTTCATCAGCGGGTGTCAATTGCCGCATAATTTTGGACCTCCTTCAGTACACTCCGTCCTTTATTCTTTGCGATCTACCGGCACTAGGCACAACTAGAAATCGTCGTCCAGCTTTTCAGTCATTTAAGCCGCTGGCCTGAGACTGGCTTGCTAGATCAACCAGGGAGAGTTCTGTTCCTCTTCATCCTTCCATATTTTCTTCTTTTATTTCCCAGAATTTTCTCACCCCATTTTTAGGTTTTTCTTCTTCCTCCGACTGCGCAATGAACCTCACAAAAGTCGAAATGCACTGCAGAATGCGTATGAGAATTTATACAGGCACAAGAAAACCCCATACAACTGCGACTGTCGCAGGAGATGAGAAAATTTCCGCGTCTGGGACCGATATGCTGTTTTGGGTGACAGATTAAAGTGATGGTCCCACGCTACTGCGTACTATATTCCAACTTACACTAGCGCTCGTACTCGGAAGAGTAGAAAAATATTTTAGACAGGCCTGCCGAATTTCTTAACTGCATGAAAACTTGACTGAGCGTGGGAGGCTTTTTTTAAAGGAAATTATAGCTGCTATATCTCAACTATTCGCAGCTAGAGGTACCTAAGCAGGCTTGAAAATCCAAGATCTCTACGTTTGGCAAGCCATATAAAGAAAACTGTCGAATATTATTTCGTTCCCTTGAAGCCTTTGAAACTTCCTCCACACAGAAACGGTATTGTTTAGTTTTAAAAACGAGTATATTTGCCGAATTTATTTGAAAGGTAGCCGTCTAAGAAGAATCAAACATTCCTCTATGTTATTAGCATACGGTGATCGTAAAACTTTATAATGAATTTGAACCATATTGTAAGCCCCATAAACTGTATTAATAAATGTACAAAAACAAAGCTTTATAGTCATTTTGAGGCTCTAAAAATCTCATAATTCGAAAAGCTTTTTAAGCTAAAATGTACGCTTTTTTCAACAGTAAAATTTGAGGAAGACCTAGTCTGCTACCTTCCGAAAACAAGAAAGGATAGTTTGTGCTTTAAAAGGGCATAAAAAATCAATGGGAGAAAATTAGTACCACCTACGTAATAGATTGTTGCGGACTATAGTTTACCCAGGCAGCCAAAAAGAAGCATTTTTAAAAGATGAAATCTTGACGGAAGTAAATGTTTTTGGAATCGTACTGTATGATAATTATAATATTACAACCCTACTGAGGTAACCTTTTCGAAACAAATTTCTGAACTTCAACAAACATTTCCTGAGATACTAAATCTCCCGGATTTGCTATTTTTCAGCTCTTTCCTTCTAGCGGTACCCAAAAAAACTTAAACAAATCCCAACCTGTCTCGTGCGAATTAGAATGCTAAAAAGTCGTCGAGAGCTTTGAGGCTTGACGGTGTGTGCACAGAAAGCCGGTCTGTGCAAAGCACTGATTGCACTTTCCGTCTCAATGTAAATATTTGTACTGCACGCAGATGACTCATCTGGTACTATGTCTCATCGCACTTCCCAGAGTTCAGCCTTGCCCACAAATCACCCTCAACGTATTGCGTAGGCCCTGGTAAATGTCCTTGTAGCCATTTGTACGTCTAAATTAGGGCAGAGTGAGTTACCAGCTCGACCGTGGGGTTAATTTTTTCTCACCGTCTCTCGCGATCGGAAAGGAGCCTCTTTGGGAAATGCAAAAGTGGGTCTACTGAAATAAGTAAATCTGTCAAACCCCTCTAACAATTAAGTGATCATAATAATTATCCTGGTGGATTCTAGATGATTGCTTAGGAAATCCTGCGTGGGCAGTCAGCTTGCTGTTCTGTAATATTGGATTCCATATGAGCAGTAAGCTGGGCGGGTAAAATCGGTCCAAGGTTGATTGAATTCACGGCTCACGGTGAACTTCGTAGCTCAATGTTAGAGCGTTGGCTGCGCAATAGCCTTCCTTGCTGTGTGGGTTTCATGCCCACCAAGGTTGCGAATTTTTCAAAAATGAGGTCAACTGAATCAAGCAAATCTGCCAAAATCTGCCAAGAGTGCGGTTCGAGATCGGGTCTGTTTGCAGTTCGGAGAACCGGCATTCCTCGGCATTCTAGAGTTTTAGGCTAAGTTCTTCGACATCGTTAAGAGGGCTGTATTGAATCGCTAATTAATCGATTTAATCGTATTTGAGAGACAAAAATCGTCATCCATTCTCGGGCTGGGATTAAAATATGACTTTTTGAAGAAGATGCTCTTTTGGGATAAAAC